GGCCGCAACACTCTCTGGTCACTTTCGTAACGTTTAAACGTGCCATTAGATACACCGCAAATACAAAGTGCATGAAAAATACGACTCACCATCACCATATTATGCAGAGTGGGGTTGATGCGTGGGAATCTAAATCCGTATTTTTAGTAGGACTCCTGATACTGTCTTATTAAATGTAGCCTTCTTTGTCTTGGAAGTCGTAGGCTCCTTTTCTGTCTCCTGGCTGGGCCTTTTCCCCTTCCCAAAGAAACTTCCCAAAGACGTTTGTTTTTCACTCATTTTGCTAGCTCCTGGGTTTCATTTTAGCGGTAACCTATCACGTGAAGGAGAAGCTCGCCTTGACCAGCGTCAAGAGTGACATCCTGTAGACGGATGTTACAGAGAATCCGGTATTTTTTCAAAATAAAACATCTTTCAGATTCCAAAATAAATAAAATGGAAGTAATGTAAGTTTTTTTTTTTGCTTTCATTGCGCCCGGTACCAAATGATCCACTGACCGGTACCGGTCCGCAGCCCGGGGATTGGGGACCACTGACTTAAACAACAGGAAGTGAAAAGTAAAGGTAATGATGAGGAAAGATTTCCATGAGAACAGGAGCCATGTTGCCACGGCAACCGGCAGCTTTTCTGAAACGAAGACAGAATGTGAGCAGAAATGCAGCTGTTTGAGAAGGAAGGGGACAATAAAAAGTGACTCCATGCGGAAGAATATTAAAGTCAGCATGTGTGTATACATCTATCTATCTATCTATCTATCTAGCTAGCTAGCTAGCTAGCTCTTTACTATTTTTTCCAAAAATATGTGGAGAAAAAGAAAATGAAGAACGCAATCAATAGCCAAAGCGAAAGGTGAATGGCTAAAAGAAGCCTCATGAAGTATACCAAGGTCGCAAAAATAGCCCCATCCAGTGTTGAAGACCACCAGCATGGTGTGGTATTGGCTGACATGTGTTCTGCAGCTTGGCTGTGCACACTGCTGGTTTGTGTTGAGAAAGCTGTGTGTGTTTATCATCTTTGGCTGACTTCCATGAGATTTTGACACTTAGCTGCAGGCAAGCTTGGTGAAGTTGGACCAGGGAGAACAAAGACGGAACCGGGAGAGTGAGACATCCATAATCTTTGCACAAGGAGTGCACTGAGAAGCTAGAAAAAGGCTTGTAAATGTCCCTTTCTATCCCACTTTAGTGGGGAACAATCCCTCTACAGCTGCTCAAGGTTTCCTTTTATCCCTTTTCCCATTTTAAAGCCTGTTTCTCATCCTTCGATCCCTCAATCGTATACATGTGGAAGCCATTTATTTGTTTCATGTCAGATGTCTTAAAAAAAATCATGCTGGAAATCTCAAGAGTTTGCACACTGAAGTGAAAAACATCTTCAACAGAGAATTATGTGTGATTGTGAGCGCAAATGGTTGTTCGTCTCTGTGCGCCCTGCGAATGGCGCGCAACCAGTCCAGAGTGTTCCCCAGCCAACTGCTCCAGCACGCCCGCGAGCCCTCGTAAGGTTAAGCGGAATAGAAAATGGATGGATTGGACTTGACAACCTTGTTAATTGACATCATCTGTAGAACTAGAGTGAAATATCATCAACTACAATTTTTATTGAGAATCAGCAGTCGACATGATTACATTGTACGAGCTGCAAAGGAGGACTCCACCATTCGCTAGCATTGATTATTCCTTCATGGATCTTATTATTGTGAAAATGTCATTTCACACAAACAGGTAGATTTTTTTTTTTTTAATTGACATTGGGTTTTTTTTTTCAACCAATATGTAGTTTTCATTACCACCACCTACATGACTGGGTGTCAACAATGTTAACTGTTTACAAATATGATGCCTTTTGTCTATTTTTCCTTATTTTTGTGAACAATAGAAGTTAATAATTGCGTGGTCCATAGCTCGGCTCTCTAAATGTGCATTTTCACTACCTGCCGGCCTGGGGTGGAACATCACCAACAGCACAGCTTCAACTTGCCCGACCCCCCCCCCCATAAAAATAAAATCAACTGTTCCAGGTGTCTTAGTAACAAATCTGTGGCATTCAGTTGTCAAAATACCTCAAGAATGAAGAATTATAGCCCACTATTCTTTTTGGCCATAAATTTAAGGTATAGCAAGCCAGTAAAAATCAGTCACTACAAGTGTAACTGAGCGTGTCTTCTTTCTGAGTTATCCTTCCATCACTGTGCTAATTCACTGCATGTCATTTGGAACTTTGAATTACTGTTACCATGACCAAAGGATCCCCTTTCCATGTTTCTTATGTACAGTGTGCTAGAAGAGAGTGATCTGTCAATATCATATATTGTTGTTCCTGTGCTGTTGTTTGCCCTCCGCTACGCATCATTTTTTTTTACTTCACTTTTGAACCCTAAATGTCTAAATCTTCCACTCGAGCAGAGGCTCGAACACCCAGCTCGTGCCAAAAGACATTTTCGGAATGACGTTATGAGAGCGATTAAAACATTCACTGGAATTTATGGCCCTTTTTAAACCTGGTTTTCCTTGCGGCTGTTACTCTTTTATGTGGTGAGACACACTCAATTACCCTTACTGAGGTTACAAATAATAACCTATCAATGATAAACCTTTAAAGTAAGCCTAGATCAGGAAATCAACATACTGTGGAAAAAGACTTTAAACGTCTAAACGTATTCGCAAACCTTTTATTTTGGCACGATGACACCTTTATTACTTTGTCCATACGGGTCTGCTTTTACAGCTGTACATAATATGAAAGCCAAGGCTGTTCATTTGTTCACGTCATGTTTATGACACAAAGCTAAATATTTCATAATAGTTGAACACGCCGAGAATGTGGGTCAGGCAGATAAATGGGAAAACAACACAGTAGACGTCGTTAAAACTGATTTATTCATTTAAACAATGAAAGCGGGAGTAATGTGCACAAATAATTTTACTGGCTGCAAGGCCAACCGCAAAACAAAACAGAAAGGCTAAAAATATCTATTTGAAGTGACAAACCGTAATTTGCGATTTATAGGAAGCTAGTCTTTGACAATAACTGTTTCAAATGAATAGATGCTCAGCACCCGTCTTTTACAAAAGAAAATTGACACAACATGTGGGTACATTTGAAAAATGATTTTTTTCAAAAGCTTTCTGATATATGTTCAACATAAATAGTTTCAAAAATAAAATAAGTAAGAAAAGAAAACAAAGCATCATGTGGGCTACTGTCAACGTGAACCAAGCACCATACATTTCACTTTTTTTTTTTTGTTAACAACTGATTTGCATGACCAGCATACAGTCATGACCCATAAAATAACCAAATACACATAATTGAGTGACTACTTTAGGCAAAATTGACACACACTTTACCCAAATATTTATATGTTTTGCTCAAATCAAATGATATGCGCTCCTTTGACATCCTTTTCGCTTCAATTTGTCACTGCAAATGAGAAGCTTTTTAATTTTAATGTGATACCAGTCAGACAAATAGTTTTTTTCCCCCAGATGTATTAAGCATTCCCCAAAAACAAACAATCACACTGCCCACACCATCATATCAGACTGTGGACCCTTGGCAGTGTGTGGCAGTTGGAAGTTATGTCAATGTTCATATGGAATAATTTGTTTAAGACTCTTTCTGATATCACTGAGTCAAAAGCTTTTCATAGTGGACGGCTTATAAAGATGCTAAATGGGGATTTTTATGCAATAAGCATATTAAGATGGATAATTCAATGAAAGACACTTTCGCGTTGGACAGACTTAGCATCGTTAGCACGCATTGAAGTTAGCTCTACTTGTTTAATGTTTTTGACAGCGCCCTCTTGAGGGGAGGCTCCTTCTGGTCTTGGGTGGTGTCCTGATGTGGGTGCGTTCGGGATGTCTTCGACTCGTACAGCTGCTTAAGGTTGAGTGTTTGTTTCTCCTTGGCCGTCTCTCGTTGGGCCTGGCGCAGCAGACGTTTCATGGTCTTCACCTTTTCCCTCAGGTGGCCGTTGGCCTTCTCCAGAGAACGCACCTTTTGAGAGAGCGTGCTCACTTTCTCCTCCTCCTCGAACAGAGCCTTCTGCACCGTGGAGCACAAAAACTGTGGAGAAAACAGAGTTCAGGAAATAAAAACAATACAAGTAGCACAGAAAGACGGACCTGAAGGATGTCAACGGGGTAGAGGGGAGCAGTGTGGTTTTATTTTCAGGCCAAAAGAGAGGAGAGATATCTCACACGCCCTAGAGGGACTGTTTACTGCGAGTGGCCTTTCAATCTGGTCGACAATTTACAGATGAATGATTGTGGCAAAACTAATCATTCTCCGCATTTTTTAATGTTAATTTTCAAAGCGCAACTGGCCATCTTTTACTTGAGCAAACTCATATTATTAATTAGTTGCTCAGGGTTCAGGTAACAGCCAATCACGGCTCACCTGTTTTCTGACTTGGGTCGTGTGACGTTCGCAAGTTGACCTGTGAATTAAGCAGCAAAATCCATCCATTTTTAATCCAGTTCAAGGGTTGGCCATTTTGCCACTTCCTGTCGAGCGAAAATGACATCACAGCGAGTGGTCGTGACCTGAGCCCTGAGCAAATCTGATATCATTTTCAGTCGACAGCAAGTGAGAAAATGGCTGCCGTCTAAGATGGATGAAAATGAGTGTATTTTGCTGCTTCATTCATATTCCACAAACACAACATTAATCAGAATACTGTACTTTGTTTAGACTAGTGGGGCCACATAGAAATGTATGTGATTTCCTCTTTTAAAAAAGGGGCATTAAAATTGTGGAAACGATATACAGGATCGGTACCATCGAAAATGAAGTTCTTTGAATATTACTCATCAGTAAGGAGAAAAGTGAAAGTATGCAGTAGGAGAAGTGAGTTTTGTAGGAAATTAGAAGCCGACCTATTTGTAGGATAACTTCCTGACAGGAACTTGCAAAAAAATTGTAGTGATCGAGTTTTTATTATTTTTTATTTTTTTATGTGAATGTTTGCAGTAATGTATACATTAACATCAAGGCCCCTGTAGCTCAGGGGTCAGAGCACTGGTCTTGTAAACCAGGGGTCATGAGTTCAAATCTCATTAGGGCCTGATATTTTAGGGTGATCGTAATTTAGACCCTGATGGACTTGACATTCCAAGGCAAAATTATCCACCTCTGTTGTCAGTGTACATGGTAAATTTGCTTCGATTAAAAGGGTTGTTGAATTCAAATCTCTCTCAGAAAATCCAAATTTGGGGAAAATTCTCTTCATGGAAAAATTTGGGAGAGAAAAGCTAGTTCGCCTCCTGAACAAAGAGTTAGTCCTTGCTTGTCATGCAGTGTCCAGAGGGTAATTAGGTTCATCTAAGTTAGTGTGGCGCCAGTTGACAGTATGATACAGGAAGTGGCACAGAAGAAAAACCTCCTCAAAGGAGAGGCCTCATAGCTCAGGGGTTAGAGCACTGTTCTTGTAAACCAGGGGTCGTGAGTTCAAATCTCACTGGGGCCTGATAGTCTTGAATTTCTCCCATTAAAGGACATGGTTATAAACATATTGATATATTCCAAGATGGCGACTTTGTTCTATCGGTCATTCCGGCCAAAATTAAAAGATTATCTATTCTCCAGGTAGGATAATTGTGATGCAGATGGGTACACAACACGAACAACAACAGGCCACGTATCAGTCCAGACATTTTGTTCGGAAAAAAGAAGACCTCCAGATGCTTCAGACTGTACGGATTTTCTGCCTGAGTGTGGATTTCCTCTGCGGATGCTAATGCTTCCATGTGGGCCGGCATGCAAATTGCCTGCCCTTAAATAACAACTGCTGAAAGTTTGATGGAAATGTTGAAAATGTGCTGCTGGCTGCCGGGCGGCATCACTGATGGCTACATTTCCTCCCGCGGTATAACTGCGGCCATACACCATGTGGCATTACTTATGCCTTATTGGGGTGTGAAAGGCCTGTGTAACTTGATAACGTAAGGGTTAAAGTGTAGAGACAAGGATGATCATGGTATGCGAAGTAGTGGGTGACCCTGCCGCGTGAGTCCAGGTGGAATTTGGGGATAAACGGAAAGATGTCTACAGTCTGGGCAGATCCACGCATTTAGTTGAAAATTCAACGTAGTGTATTGCCAAACTTGTGAAATGTGAATTTCATAACCAAACCATAAGCAGCCATTGGTTTTCCCGTTGTGTGTATGGCGAGGCAAGCTTTTCATGCAGTTTGGTGTTAGCGGTACATCTTGATGCAAGTACGTGCATTGTAATGACTTGGATGTACGAATTGTGACCTGAACAAAAGTCTGCTTTTATTTACTCTGTGAGGAAATATAATCTGGAGTCTAATTTAAGAAACCGCCGCAGATATCTAAATATCACTTTGTAATTACAATCACAGGCCAATCTAACCCCAAATCTTTGCTATCGACGGAAATGCAAACTCTGTTTATAATTCCCTTTTCCCGTGGTAGATTTCTACTTTCGTGGGAAGGCAGCAAATGATTGAAAACAGACAAGACCAAAATGAGAGGGGATTGTGCCAAAGGGAAGAAGCAGCGGTGAGTCAGTGGAAACTAAATACATAACAAATAACACAACAAAAAGAAAAATACATGAACTCCATACTTAGACTCTTGAGCCAACTCCCTGGGATACACAGTCAAAATCAAATCAAGCTTTGAATTCCATATCGCTGGCGTCGGGCAGAAACCTTGTATCTCCAAAATAGTCACTTTTCAGGCGACAGCTTATTTGTTCAATCGTTAACGTTGCATCATCAAAGAGGGTAAACCATTTTCAATACTTTAGATTGGTCAATAATTTGTGTACTGAGCAATATAATAGATTTAAAAAATAACATTATAACGTACAGCTTCATTATGTCCCTCGACGTACGTTGCAATGAGGTTCATCCGTATTCAGCGACATTTTCATGCCGACTGAGTGATTCCGACGAGGACACCAAAGGCACTTAATGGTGATAGTGGCCCTAACACTGCATGTGTCTACTCTACATGATGTAATCCTACATAAGTGGTCCCACATGCTGCACTTAAAACAAGACTAAGCTATAGAACAAACGAAAAGCCACAGCGGTTGCATGAAAACAATGTTTTATGTTTCTAAAGTGGATTTTTCCATCAAGCATTGTGGCTTCTTTGTCTAGCCAAACCTCAGAAAATGTCTGTTTCCCAGATTTTGGAACCATATTTCACTCGCAGCAAACAAAAGGAGATCATTGTGAATCTTCCTACGTGCCCCCACATTAATCCAAGCAATTGTGGCTTCTTACATTCTGGTTCCTAAACCAATGCGCTGAATCAGAGTGTTTCTGTTCAACTCTTTGCATGTGAAATAAAGCACACTGGAGCCTTTGAGCCATCTACGTACCCTGCTGTCCTCTTGAGCCTCCCACTCGGGGGTATAGCTGTGGACCTGAGTATCAGGTGTGCAGTTGGCAAACTGGAATAGGCTGGCAAAAAGGCGATGGTTGTCCGCCGTGTCCGGGAAGATGGCATCTTGGAAGTTTACTCCATGGGGGACCATATTGTAGTTTTCATCCATCCTGCGTGGCAAGAAAAGATAATACATATTGTACACACTTTTAATTTTCACTTCTCTTGGGCCAAAGCAGATTTATGAGTGAGAGTAACGTATAGCAACATGTGAAATGTGTGAGGGAGAACGTATGGACATCTGGAGTCCATCTCGTCTCCTCAGCGGACATCAAAAGTTTGGCTGCTCGTACAAGTGACAGAGTTGGCGCGTGTGTGTGTTGCAAAGGTTAAAGGTAAATGTGGAGAATTAACTTTCGCGGATTGGTTACACAACACAAATGCAGCACGCGCAACATCCCCCCTCAAAAAAAAAAAAAAAGTGCATTGGTTACACAACACAAATGCAGCACGCGCAACACCCCCCCCTAAAAAAAACGCCTCATCAGCATTTTTGATCTGGCATCACGATAGTGTTTCCCATCTGTACGAGTCGTGTTTATTATTCTTCTGACAGAATCTTTAAGGGGAAAGCTATAGGCTAATGTTTTTACAGTGCACATGAGAACCAGACAGCACACTCAATCCGTCTCATTTTAAGATCCCATGTGAGATCGCCAGTCGCATTCTTCCCCTTACTCAGCCCTGATTCGCCATGTCCTGGGAGCATTTTGCCCATGATTGATTGAAACAACTATTTTTATCTCTCTGCGGACAGGAAATGGCTGTCCACTAGAGACCGTGATGAGAATGAGAACTTCATCTCTTCTTCTTTGTCTCATGAAACAAAGAGTCAAGACCTCCAAAGGCGGGTTTATGGCTATACAGTACGTTGATTGGATTTTTTTTTTTAGATATATTAAATGAAATTTTACATTTTGCATCACTTTTTGAAGCTGAAACTTGTATCTTTTTGCACCGATTTACACGTCAAGGGTAGAACAAAGGAGGCTTTCTCTCAAGTTTAGCTGTTCCCAATTTCATGTGGAACTCAGTCACTTGTCTTCTGTCTTCTACAACCACCCACTGAGCAGAGCGTACAGCCGCTCGCCTCATCTGTTGCTATTGTCAGCAGTCACATCATCAATAATGGACAGTTGCGCTATCCCGCAGCAGCCATATAGACGTCGCAACCACATGTTTGACACACGATGTGATATGCTTTGGATCACTCGCTGTTCTTTTCAGTCTCCTGAAACATGCTGACCTTCTGATCTGTCCAAATAATGTTATTCCATAATATGGGAGGCTGTTCCAAACATTTTCTGGCGCAGTCTAATCTGGACTTATTGTTTTTGAATGTTGTTGTCAAAAGAATGATTTACTCGAGCCTTTCTTTTACAGTTGAGAAGTTCTGCAGAGGAAATGGAATCATTTCTCCATGTTATCCCTGACAAAGGGGGACCATAAAAAAATGCTGTTCTGCATTCTTGTAACGGGTGTCACAGATAAAGTTAGCATTGATTTTTCTTTATTTTTTATTTTTTTTTACCAAATACAAACGAGGGAAGCAAAGTGTTGTCTAGCCACATGTTAACACATGCCCGTCTGTAAGATGCATTATGCAAAAGCAAGGCTTTGTGCAGACCCCTATAAGGGACTGCAAAACTTTACACACCAGGAATGCTTTCCAGCACCCCTTCTCAATATCTGACATCTAATCTATGTGAGCAAAAAAAAAAAAAAAGAAATGTGAAGGAAAAATTGGTAACACCTGTTAGTGAGCACAGGCTCCCTATCATCAAGCGGGGGCTTTCATCAGTGCTGGGTCCACAAATAATGGCCTTTATCAAACTTTTGCTATTCTGATTGTGTCTTTTATGAGTTTAAAGTTTTAACATACCGGCTGCACTGTTTTTCAACGCGCGTGGAAAGTATCACACATAAGGGATCCCATTAACCCTTTCACACACCAAAAATGATACCCTATAACCTAATAACATGATAAGTTGTCCACTGTCGTAACCGCTGTCCCTGAAAAGGTTAAGAGAGAATACAGGAGGTGGGTGCTCTTCTTTGTGAGTTTAGGTTTCTTTACTGATTGATTCCTTTGAGAATCCTTTCTCATGTTTATAGTACACATGTGAAGAGATGTTGGAAAACAGAAAAAAAAAGTGACAACTTCATTTCAAGCACTTAGGAATTACATGACATCTTATTTGAAGATTTAGAATCGTTACCCTTTGTTGAACGATGACTTGAACATGTTTACCACCAACTGGAGTGGATGGGAGAACTTTTTAATGTGAGGAGGGTATACCAAATCATACAGTCCAGTGTTCTCGCCACTTCCTATATATGGCTATGGCACCGAGTTGCGCTGACCGTGCATTTCATAAATCAGGGGATTGTCTACAAGGCAAATAGAAGGATAAACACTTGTCTTACTGTATTTTCTTGGATATGCGAAAGACAGTCCTCATTGGAAAGTTTCCAACAATGTGTTCGGGGCAATTAATCAACGGAATCTAACTATGACCAACACGACGTTACATTTTCAGACTTCCTCAAATAGTGGCAACCAGTCTAATAGACACTGTGCCCCAATTAATCTCCAGTTGCATCGAACCCTTGAATAAATAAATAAGGGCCTCAAATTACCCCAT